GCGGCTTCCTCCGGGCCCCGCGGGCGGGGACGGGCGCAGGCTTTAAAGCAAAGTCAGTAGTCATCTTCACCGACACCGCTGCCTTCCCAACCCCGCTGCCCCGCACCCTGCGGTGTTGCTAAGTACAAAAACTCGTTATCGATTAAAAGGCACCGTTTTCAGCACAGGTTTGGTTCACACCAACAGCTCCAGGTACAACCGAGCAGGGCCTCTCCCCGGGTTCCCTCCTCTCGGGCTGCCCCAAGGAGCTGCACAGGGAATCGTCACCCACGGCCCAAACCGAGCGGGACACAGCGAAAACTGGGAGGTGATGATCTCAGGACAGACAGGAGACCCCACAAATACATCTGGTGATATTCTAGGAGACGTCTTACGCATTTTAATAGTGTTACAATAACATATAAGATATGTTAGTGTCTAAGTTTATGGGAAACCACAGGAGTTCAAGTATTTTATTACTGCAAATGCAAACACTATATATATATTTTTATATGTATATACAAAGGAAAATAATTTTTTTGGCAATATTATGGGGGATTTTACAGCTCGAGTCTCTACTCGGTGGCTAGCACAGAGTGAAAAAGCCAAGCGCTCTTTTTGGGACTTACTTCACTTTTAGCAAGTTTGTGCAAGAGGTTTGTGTGTGTGGCCACCAGCGGTTCCTACCCAGGCCCCCATCCCGCTCCAAACGCTCCTTTTCAGAGTTTTACACCCAGTTCAACCAGCACAGAAACAGCAGCGAGTTCTGTGAGCATCCTGAGCGACACCAAATGGCTCTGGGACCGGGGCCAGGCAGCGGCTTGGGGTAAAGTGCTGGGGCTGAGCAGCAAAAATGCCTCTGTGTTCTGCAGGGACTGGTAACCAGGCTTTAGATCCCAATTAAAACCTAAGAGCACCCCCTTTATTAAAACCAAAATACGGCCGTGTCTTTTCGTACCTCGATTTTCACTGCCCGTTTGTAGTGTTAGTGGAAATTAGTACAGGACTCTCACTTAGCAACGCACAATCGCTAACTTAAAACCGCTGAACGTTGTGCTCATACAGCACAGCTCAGTGTCAGCCAGCACGAGAGTGAGGATTTAAGTGCATCACTACACATCATAAACGTATATACATGCACAAACATGTTTACAATGGGTTTCTCTTCCTCTGATACCTTATTTCACTTGTGCCATTGATGCGGAAACGTTTTCCAGTCCGTGTGAAATAAGCTTAAATTAATTGGCCAGATCTCCTCGTTCTGAGAACGGCAGGGGTGACTTCAGCTCTTCACTGCACGCTCAGACAGACGACACCAAATCAGACAAATCTCGTTACCGGGGCTCATCGCAGAAACGGGGACACCAGAAGCAACTCCCCAGTGCTGATTTCGGAGATCACTGAACCAGGGCTGCCCCGCTCCCCGCTCGCACAGACCTGGGGACGGGGTGGGCGTTCTCGGGTCCGGTGGCTTTGGTCGAGGTATTTCGTTTGCAGTTCTACATTCCTGGTTTCCAGATCTCGGCGCCTCCTCCCGGGCTGCAGAGGGAAGGCTTTCGGGATTACCACGGGCCGCTCCGTCGGGATTACTGCCACTCCAGCCTCAGGAACAGCTCGGCTCACGGGGAGGCCCCAGCAGCTATTTGGGAGGCAAAGGTGCCGGTCGAGAAGGGAAGAAGTGTCCCTGAGGTAAACCCTTCTGCTGCGGCGGGGGAGGACGCTGAGGTGCACACTTCTGCTGCGGAGGCGGTGGCCTGCGAGGGGACAGAGAAGCCGTGGTCAGCGCGGGTGACCCCATCCGGAACGCACGTCCCTCGTCCCCCACCCGGCACCGGTGCAGCAGGGACTGCCCCTGCTTCCCAGTCTCTACTCCCACATTTGGGACTGATTTTGGACACGCCACGCTCAGACTCTGCTTCCACTGCCCCAGATCCTTGGGGAACCCCAGTCTGTTTAAACCACTCTGGGAAAAACGGTTAAGACCCCACGAGTTTCCCACCAACACGAGCTGTTTCGGAGCACCCCCCCGATACCCTGCGCTTTCTGCGCTCACAAGTTTTATGGCATAGGGACTACGTCTTAGAAATACAATTAAAAAGTAGAATGGCAAATAAAGGAGAACTTTCTGTTCAGAGTTAATGGGACACGGTCCTGTACTTGGCGATAACGCTCACAAATCAGCAAAATGACCATTTCTGAGTAATTTCTTTTTAGACGGCGTATTTTGGGAGGCATTTTATTCACCCGTATGCAGGGCTAATCTGGCCCTAGAAAAGCAGTCTGAAATCTGTTAATGAAAACGTGGCCAGGACAGCGAGTAAAACAAATGTCACAGGTAAAAGCACCTCAGTCCCACAGTGAGAAATGAGGGAGAAACTTCTTCCAGTGAAAAGTCAGTGCTGCCTGCGTGTGATGCGTGATGAAACACCCCGATGCTTACAGAGACGAAGGGAAAGGCAATCCGTGCACGTCAGCACGACTGCCCGTAGGGAGTTGCAGTGACCCAACCAACCTTGTCGGCAGCTTCTGTGGCTGCGGCGCCTGGTACTGCGGAGAGGGGTAGTAAGGCTGGTGGTAGGCAGGGTGCTGGTTGGCTGGGTACGACGGGACGGGAAAGGCGTTTGGCTCCATAGCCTACAACGAAACACAACGAGAACGCTCACAAAGCTGCACACGGGGAAGTGAAGTATTTGTTTCATTGGCTTAGTGACATTCAAACAAACCCCAAAATGTCAGAGTTGCTCCTTCCTTCTGAGAAACTCAGGAGAAAGAAGCAAGTCTGAAAAGTGCTGTGTTTTGGGAAAAAACACAAAGGCCGGTCGCAACAAAAGCCTGATTTGTTCTGCAAATGTGGTTTGGCTGCCTAGGGTATCAGAGAGAGAATCGGTCTGCAGAGGAGTGGGCTACGGAGCTGGCAAGGGCTGCTCCCAGTGTACGGAAAAGGGAGAAGCAAAGCAGGTAAACTGCCTGCACAGCCTGTAAAAAAGCTTAAACAGAGGAGTTCTCTCCACACACCTCAAGAAATAATTCTCCTCTCTGCCTCCTAGCAATGAGAAAACCCAGTCTGCAGAAATTAAAGAATAAAGTAGCTTTGAGGCTTTCAGTAGGGCAAAAATTGTACAAACTGCCTTCATCTGTAACTTCAGAGTACCAGACAGCAAGTGAAGCCGCGAGAAGCGATCTGTCCTACCATGGGAACAGCTCCGGGAGCGTAGGGCATGCCGTGTGAAAAGCCCCGGTGCTGGCAGTCGCGCAGTTCCGCTGCCGTTCGAGGAGGTGGTGACTGACGGGACCTGAAACCCAACCGACAGGGGCTGTGTCAGGACATAACCGCGACAGACGATGCAGGCCACGAATCCAAGCACTTCTAGCCTGGCAGGTGTATTCACACTGCCTTAGCACATATCTGATGTCGAGAAGGTCGTATTTGACACAAATCCAATAAACAACACAACCCATTTTCTGGTTAGGACTCTGACAGCTTCTTTTTGCCACTTTATACCAAAGATGGGATCGAAAAATAAAAAAATCCATCACCAATGCACAACAACAAACAAAGGTGAAAAGAAAGCTTTCTGCTCCCTCTGTTTAGGAGGAATTTTATCTCTTCTGTCATTGCCAGGGGCACGCTCCATGCGTCTTTTGGTGCAGGGGCCTTTGCCTGACATCCTGGGACTGGGCTCCGTCCCCGTACTCCAACACTGGCTCGTGCACACAGACATCTATGGGCTGCTCCAAAAGGGCAGAGCAGAGGGTGAAGAGGTGAACGCACTTACGAATGGCAGCGTGACATGAACCTCCTGCAGCTTCGCTTCAGCCTGTCTCGTTTTGCAAATGCCAGAGCAGCGGCCACAAGGAGTGGGAGGACCAGGAAGAAGAAGACCAGCAGCCCATCCCTCAGCGAGGTGTCCTTGTCTGATGGGGACAAAACGAAAAGCATCGCAGGGCGTTACCACCCCTTGACTCACCGTAGCACTGAGTATTTGGTAGGATTGGTTCTGGAACTATTTTCCATTTCTCACAGGAGAAAAACCTACAGAATCCAGTGAGACTGCAAGATAAATGCCCAAATATATTCTTTCCTGATTGTCTTTCCCCAGGCATTGTCTGGTCAAAGATGAAAGAGCTGCAGTGCCACGACGCCCTGGGCCGTAACAGCATGTTGAATTACTAGATCAATACCCCATTTTTCTCTCACTACATTACTGTGAAGACCTTACGAGCTCAACTGAAAGAGAGGAAAACAGAGCTCCTGCCCCTTGGTCTGATCCTAAATCTCCCTCTTCTCCTACTGTTGTTTGCTGTAGGCAAACTCAGGCTCTTCACAGTCTACATTTTCATATGCAGCACGTTTCTCCAATGCAGGCTGTACAAAAAACGCCTTTCCCTTTTTGTGTCTGGTGATTTGAGGCATCTGTCCATGCTCCAGCGTTATTCCCCAGTCTGTCATTGCACCAGCACAGTGTTTAGCTTCCCCCGAAGCCACACCATCCTACGAAAAACCATCTCCAAGCTCATAAGGAACTGCATCAATCCCATCTTTATGGGCACTGCACACATTTTCTCCAAATTATAGCTTAGATTTGGCTTCCCATTTCATCTCCAAACTGTCAGGGAGAGAAGCAAGCTCCACAGCCCCTTTCAGTTTGCCTTCCCACTCGCATGAATTGTGCTCCCCTGCCCCAGGCACCGTCTTCCCCCTCTTCACACTCAGACATGGGTACTCACATCTTCCAAGCACACAGACACACCATCCTCCACGTCCAGCACTGACCTAGCACCTCTCCTGGGGGAAAAACTACATTAAACCCCCACAGACTTCCCTCCCCTACACAAAACAGAAGTGAACTGGAAGTCTGCAAACAATACGGTGTCACACACCTCTGCATCTCCCCATTCCTTTATCACACACCCCTCTTCTATACCATAGGCTGTTTGGGGCAAGGACTACGTTTGTATTTGTCACCAAATGGCACATGCTGTCTGCACTCAAAACAATAAACATCAATATAATAGCGACTGGACAGCTCTGGAGATGCCCCACAAGCACTTGCCGTTGTAGGGGGGGCCGCTGTCCACGCTGCCTCCATAGCCTTTGGTGTCGCAGTAAGGAGGGGCCCAGCCTGCTTCACAGTGGCAGTTCCTGTTGTTATTGCACACCTGCAATCAAAACAACACAAACACCACGGTAAGGTCTACCTGAACAGCCAGTATTTAAAATGCAGTAGCCACGGAGAAGGTCCACAGTGGCCCCACTGAGTCAGTTCTGAGCAGCCCTTGGCCTGAGGTCTCGGGACTTCACATGACTGAGCGCACACAGCGCTGCTCGGGGTCAGCTTCCAGAGAGCGGCCGTCCCAGCGGCACAAAGAGCTGGGCTTTTGGCTTCTGCGAGATGCAGTTTCAAACTACATTAGTAATACTGGAACTGGGAATTCTTGCCTGGCAAAAAACATCATCTGAAGAGCTTTTGTCAAGTAATTTTTTCATACTGTTACAGGCTGTCTTGTCCAGAGGCATTTTATGGAGTTTTACAGTTAAACAAAACAGAAAAATTGAGTTACTATGCTCAGTTTTAAAACTTGCTCAACTTACACAACCTAGGTCTGATTTCTGCTGACTGTTAAAGGCACTTTTCTCATTAACAGCACCAAAACCCAGCTCTCTATAGCAAAACCCATCCTCAGGAACTCCACAGAATTAATTTTTTAAATTACTGCATCTAGCATCACGACCACTTTATTCCACATCAGTCACAGCTTAAAACAGAGCATGGTAAAAAGCTTCCCAAGTGCAAAACAGATGAGTATATAAACACCGCTGATCAAGCACAATTACAGAGCACCTGCCTCAAACTGGGACCTTCCATTAATAAAATCTGCTTATAAATTTGAACGGTCATTGGCTCTAAGCATCTCGTGTTCTCGTAACAAGGACGCCAGAGGACCTCACGCAGAAACAATGCCAGTTACAGCCAACGTTATTGCCAGGTATAGCCGAAGTCATTGCCAGCTATAGCCAACATTATTGCCAGGTTTAGCCATACATCCAGACGTTTCGGTGCTCCAGCAGGAGCAGCAGCTCGTGCCCTACTCACCCCGTGGCCGTGGCACTGCTGCTCCACGTCGCAGTCGTAGTTCAGCACGGAGACGCTCACGCACTGGAAGTGCCTGCAGACCTGGGGATGCAGGGATGCACACGGGTAAGCCAGGATGCCATCGCACCCCGCCACGGGCACGGCTGTGCTCCCAGCAGTGACCCCCAGCTCTACACAGACACAGCTCTACAAAAGGCCTCTCAGGAGGGGTCACTGGAAGCCTTTGTCTCTCCTCTGAATGTAAAGGAACAGCAATTAAATGGTGCGCAGTAAGGCCATGTGGAATGCACGTTCCTCCACTGGGGCTGAGCTCCCAGGCCTTTTACTTTAGTTGGATTTTAATTGAAAGTTGTTTTAAATGCACTTGTGCATGCCTCGCTCTTCCTGCTCACTGACAGAGCAAAGAGTCTGGCTCTTCAACTCAATTTCTTTCGCTTAATCTCTAAATGAAAGGCTCATTACAATTTTCCTGCACATGCACTGCAGCAGAAGGCAGCGTGGGGAACCAACGACTCGCTCAGTTTTGCACTGACTACAGGCACCAAAAAACCTAATGGATGTAAACACTCGGGAAACAAAGCAGCTGGAAATTTTATCCACGCTGTTAGTTATTATTATTAATTACCTTTCCATTATCACATTTGGTGCCTTCATTCACCATTCCCGGGTCTGGGACGTCGGAGCCGAGCTGGAAATCGACACCCCAGCACCTGGTGTCTTTAATGCGAGTGTGGATGATAGCAGGCTTGATCCCGAAGACGGGCATCATGTTCGCGTTTTCACATTGCAGCTTCCTATTCCTGCAACATCAACACACGAACGCTGCAGTGACGCTTGAATTTATTCTGAGGAAAAGACTACCACACATTTCATATGATCTTTTCCGTCTGCTGGAAGATGCTACTTGACAAGAAAATCGAGGCAGCTTGCCAAACAAAACTGAGCTGGGGCTCACTGCAGCGCTGCAAGAGCACGGATTGACCCCCTTCCTCCTGCAAGCTGTCGGGATCCTTACATTAAAGGAAACAAGGCCATTTGCTACTTGTTTTTCTGTAGGCGAACACCTCAGGATATGAACAATCGATGACGGGGGATGTGGAACAAGCTCTCCTTGCCGCAGTTTCCCCGAGGCAACAGAACATTGTGCACACAGCAAACTGCGGCACCGGCCCGAGAGCTCCAAACCCAGCTACGGGAGAACTGTCTGAACTTTCACACTCATTTCAACTTTGATGTTAAAGCCAGTCGGGAAAACTTACCACTGTGTAAGCGTGGGGGCTTTCAGCTAAGTGCTAACAACGGCTTCAGAAATTAGGATTAAACACGCCCTGTCTAAGCCGTCTCGCTGTGGTTTCAGCGTGATGCAAACACGTCAAAAAGGTTTGCTATGGGATCCCCAACGCGTCTGCTAAAACAGCACAAAATACCACCACAGCACCCCAACAAGGATTCTCAATGGTACATTTGGGAACAACTCGACGCACTGGGCTAACTCACCAGCTGGAGCATTTCTTGTAGTCATGGCCATGGAAACCACAGTTGCCAAATCTGTCACCCTTGGAATTCACTTCATCAAAACAAATGCTGGGGGCAGCTTTGGCTTCTGCAAACAACAGCCCACCCCCAGAGAGAGGAACCAGGTTAAACAGGGCCAGAAACACCTCGCATCACCACATCTGTTTTACCCAGAGCCATCGCCCCGCTGCACCTAGCGTTTGCCACACAGCACGGAGAGCTTAGGAACTCATCAAGACAACAAAGAGGTGAAAATGTCAGCACTACAGGTTCCAAGGTTAAAACGAGAGGAAAACAGTCACTTAATACTGAGTCAGTTTTACCATCTGATATTACTTCATGGCTTCTTCACAGCCCTATACACTGGAAACCCCATTGAAACAGGAATGATCAGTGCAAGAAAATTACTACTTGAATCACCAGCGTGGCATTAAACGTAACAAAGGAAGGATGCGTGAAGGCTGAGCCATAAAATTCTTTGCCACAGGTCTTTCTTAAGGAAAAACAACTAAATCTATTTTAAATCGACTTCATGTCTTCTTTCAGCTACATCTCCTAGAAAGAACTGTGACACCGCACTCTTCCTTACTCGAGCCGAAGATGTGCTGACACTGCGCGTCGTAGTACTGGCAAACGCCGTTGTAGCAGTAGGCTTCCTCGTGGTGGCACGGGTGGCCGTTCTGCACGGTGAAGTCCGGCTGGCAGAACTGGGACGTGCCATTGCAGTACTCAGGAAGGTCACACTCGTTGTTACTCGCCCGACACTCGGTTCCTCCAGGAAGGAGCTAAAGAGAGAGGAGAGGGGAAACTACATCAGAAAATGCAAACCTTACAGCAGAGGCGAATGCTGCACCTGACCCACAATGTGCCCCAGCAAAAAGGGCACTGATCTGCGGCCCTTGGTGGGTGCTGTGTACGTCGTGACAACTCGCCCTATTGGGGGGGAAGAACACTTCTGAATATTACAGCTGAGTCTCTTACCTGGCAGTTTTTACAGCAGTCGCCATAAGCACATTGAGCACTGGGTCGGAGCCTGCAAGTGCCAGGTTCACAGCAAGGATCACTCTCACATTCCTGCAGAGAGAAGAGCTGTGAGCGTCAAGAAATCGCACAGGCCCCTCTCCAGCCACGGCGACCCTGGCAGCACTTTGAGACACACAAACAACTGACCTTTGGTGAACCACAGTCGCACTCCTCCCCAGCATCCACCAGCCTGTTCCCGCAGTACGGGATGCTGTAGGTTTCGTCAGGCCTGGGAACGTTGAGCAGGCAGCTTCCCCCTTTGTTGAGCGTCAACTTCTCAAAGTCCTCTGCGCTGCAGCTGCTGAAGTTCCTCGATCCTCTGCAAGACGTGAGTGCATCGTTACACTGAGCCAACCCACAAGCACTTTGCAGAGCAGGGGTAACATTTGCTCTCCCATGAGCTGCGCACAGGACACGGCTCCTTGCAAGAGCACTCTGAAGATGACAGCAATCTGTAAAACCTGACCGCATGGGCGGGGGGTTTGGACCCTCAGAAAACACCTTCTCTGTCATCAGTTACTTACGATGCTCCAGAGCTCATAATGCAACTGCTCGCTCCGCAGTGACAGACGCGTTCATCATCATGGTTCATCCCCAGGTTATGTCCCAGTTCGTGAGCCATAATTGATGCAAACATCTGTATGCTGATTCTTCCAAACTGCCAAGAGCAAAACCGAAGAAAATTAGCAGACAGCTTGTATTGAGAGAGTCAGGGTTTAGTTATGTGCCAAAAAGACACCTCAGTCATTCTGCCTCTACATCAACAGGACTCTCAGACCAACTGTGCCTGCTTTCCAGCCAAGTCCATGTCATTTGCTTAGCAATAAGAGCCCTTAGATGAAGATATCTGGGACACTACCTAACAGCCTCTGCTTTCCAGTGTAGCTGCAACATCAACATAAAAACTAGAGCTCTCCACACCAGCCCAAATCTCCTTAGATATGCAAACTCCAATTCCAGTACTTCTTCAGCAGTCCAAGAAGACAAGATTGCTGGGACTGCAGCTACCCGAGATTGGCAGCTCAGTTCGTTAGCGCTCTGCAATTTCACACAAAGGGGGCAGCCAACCGGCGCTGCTCGAGGAGTCAGAGGGGGTCAGGCAAACACCAGAGCACGGATTTGAGAACACCCACGTACATCCAAGGCAGGGGCACTTAAAATGCCAGCAGAGAGATCCTGTCCCTTCCTCACGAGTGCTGCACACTGAGGAGAGGGGACCCTGAGCAGAGGATGTGTAAATGCACACTGAGGAGAGGGGACCCTGAGCAGAGTATGTGGAAGACTACAGAAAAATTGTGATCCAGATACCATGGAAACACCAGAAATGGTTGGGGACCAGATAAAAGCCCCCACTAAACCACTTCAGCTTTGTTATTAAAGACTATGTGCTTCAGGAAGACTTCTGGAGAGCAAAACCCCTGCCTGGATCACACTCGCAGCATCACTAAGGATATCTCACCACGTTGATGCCTCCCGCGTGGCTCTTGGAGCACACAGTCCCAACGTAGGCCATTCCAGCTGTGCCACCAAACCCCTTCTTCCTGCAGGCATAGGGAAAAGGTGATCAGTACTGACACAGGGTGCTGCCACAGCACAGCCCAGGCACTAAATGCCGCTTTCCAGCTTTCCAGCCTAAAAACGAGCACTGCCAGGAGCACTGCTACTGACTGCGGGTACAAATGTACCCCTTCAGCTCTATCTTCCCGTTCCTGGTTCTTTTATTCTTTTAAATTAAGATAAGAGTTTGCAGGGAAAGTTATCCTCTTCCACATCTTCCCTCCAAATATGAGGAGCTAAACGGTCCACCCTTGTGATCATTCGTTTTACTTGGCTGTTGGCTGCCTCGCTGCCACTGCCAAACTCCCAAGATTTCTTTCCTTGTCAACTTCCTTCTCACTACTGTTTCACTTTGCACTTAAGCTTTAAGAACTGTGCAGAAACAACAGCACAATGCACCACATTTTACCTCACATGTAAGAAATTTTATAATTACTCTTTTTTCAGCCGTATCACCTGAGCAGAGCTGCTCTGCCTCGGAGGGGAAGGGGCTCCCAGCTTCTGCAGAAGGGGGGCTATGGCTTCACCCAAGGGCAGGCTGGGCGCTGCTCCGCGCACTCGTGCCCTCGCTCTGCCCTTTCTGGTGCTGTGGGCAGGGACTTCCTCAGTCCCGCGCCATCTGCGGGAGCGGGAAGTGCACGGGGGCACGCGTCCTGCAGCGCTGAGCTGGGCTGAGGCAGCAGGGATTGACACGTCAACGTCGCGTGTCAAAGCTCAAACCACAGCAACAGCTTCTGGGTGCCAACCGCAGAAGAGACTTCTGCTCCATTAAAATGCAACTTTGCACCAGAATTATGCTCATTTTCAAGTGGGAAAAGCCTGAGATTACAAGTCTAACCAGCACGCAAGCTGACAAAGGATTATCTGAACAGAAGCTTTATACAACACGACATAAAACATTGCAGGACATGTGGGACAATAAAAGAATTTGCTATTTTATGGACGTTTAGCAATGTCTTTGTTAGAGGGGACACTGAATGCAAGCACCACAGAAACCTCCCTACAAATGCCTAGGCTGCCTTGGAATGTTTTCACAAGTACATAAGCCACAGCAGACCGCACTGAAATGCAGCGGCTTCTCTCGATACGAGCGCGCGGCCGAGCAGACAGGAATAGAACAAATCCGCTTAAGAGCGGGGGGGAGGCGCCACTCACAGCACGAACTGGGCGCTGTCGTGTCTCCGGCGCAGGACGAGATTCTTCTCCCGCCACTGCACAAAGTTGGCCAGCACGTCCCCAGCGCCCCCGTCTGTGCTGATGATGTTCTCGTACTTCCAGATCTCCAGACCCACCAGCACAATGCGGATGTTTAACATGATGTACATCTGCGGAAGGGAAAAACGGAGGAACATTTCTGAAGGCCTTCAGGTAAGAACGAGTTGTCTGGCGTTGCGCACCTCATTGCAGTAACGGACCTCTTCTGTTTGGGCTTGTTGTTTTTACCAGTTAGTACACAACAAGTCACCAGAAGAGATTAATGCTCTTCTTAGAATGCATTTTCCCTGCAATTCAGACTTTCATTAGCTAAAGGATCAATGCTGAAATGGCACACTGTAAGAAATCCCAAACCAGAAATAACAGAGACTCAATCCCAACAAACAGCATTGGCTGAAACAGCCACGTTGAAAGACACGCTTCTTCTCCAACCTTTGCACATACACAAGAATTGCAATAATCTCAACAATCTGCCCCGTCACTCGCTGAATGTTCCCTAAATTAAGTCTCGAGTGCGATGACTGCAGGTGGATTCAGTGGTGGAAAAGCTTTCACAGGATGCATCCACCGAAGCCCACTGCCAATAAACGGTGCCGTCGCTCTGCAGCCCCGCTCCCCTGCACAACCCTTGGATGAACTCAGCTTACGCTGTCCAGGAAGTTTGCCAGCTGCACCATGTGCTCTCTCACTTCTGTCTCACTCTTCCCAAAGTCTTCGAACTGCAAAACCAAGACACTCGGTCACGAAGAGAAGAGATAAAGACAAAGGGCAGAGAAAGACACAGAACATTTCAAAACCAGGAATATGGAAAACATTTTTGCCTGGCCCCACATGTCCCGTCCAGAACACGCTAATCAAGACAGCAGCACCTTCACTCCCATTGCTCAACAGCTCAATAGTCAAGAGAAAACAAAGGCAGGTTGTTTTTCTCTGTGTTTTCATTACATTATTAGATTCTTGCTGACAGAAACTTCTCCATGCCTGACAGTTCACTCTTCAAGAGCACTGCACAGAACACGTGCCTTCAGTTTTAGGTCAGGGTACTGACCTAATTGACTTCACTAATGGCTGAAGTGTTGGTGCCTCTCAGTGATCCACTGGGGAGGAACAGAGACCCCGGGCTCCTCAAGCCAACCCTGGGGAGAGGGAAGGCACAGCAGCACACGAGCCCTACCTTTTCTTTGTCCACAACTATGAACAGCTCCACGTATCTCGTCTGGTGTAGGACTGCTCTCTTTCTCTGTGGAAAAGAGTTTCAGACAACTTCAATTTTATTAATTCAAGTGTAAACAAAACAAATCCTGACTCTCCTATTTTACTGGACAGAACTGGTGCTGTGAGAGACACACCCAGAGCACGCTGTGCCAAGGCAGAAACAAGCCAAAACCAAGAAGTGCAATCCTATGCAATGACAATTTCTCTGTGTTTTACACTAAAATTTAGCTGCACAAAGGCTTCCCGTGTTTCAAAAGCAAGGGACCTTTTCAGTTTTCACACAGGGTTCTCTGGAAAGGCAGCAAATGCTTTTATAAAGGAGGAGAAAGATCCCACAAGCAAACACCAACCACCTCGGAGCAGAGCAGTGGTTTTGGTACTCCTGCCTTCACTGCAGCCTTGTTCCTGTACAGCCAATCTTTCAATGGTAAGGGGGACGCTCACGCAAAGCTGTGATTCTGTCAGTTAGGAAAATGGAATAAACACCACAATATTCTGCTGGCTTCTGACACCACACTCTGTTAATGAGCCCCACCACTGAGGGAAGTGCTCCTGCCCTCGGAAACCCCAAAAAGCTCTGCCCATAATAATCCATCTGGCCTCTCGACTCTCACGGCTGCCTGCAGAAGCAGAGGAAATTGCAGCAGCTTTGCTGAAGCAACCGAGCTCTCCAGCAGCGCAGAAAGGCCCCTGGATCAGAAACCTTTTGGTATGTGCTAAGCCCCAGGAAATCTGCTAAGCTGCTTCCAAGTTCCCAGCTGAGCCCCCCAAACCCGTTACAGGGCCTGCGGGGCAAACAGGAGCACTCACCCGCAGCAGCTGAGCCATGGTGGGATGGTGACCCTCCTCCTCTGCGTGGTCCTCGGTGGCCACCCCACACGACGTGGGCTCCTTCTTCACGTTTTCCAACCGATACAAGATGTGCTGAGAGCCAGGAGAGGAATCCATGGGCTCGATCCCATAGGTGATGTTCCCTATTGTCACCAAGCCCCTAAAACACAGCAGCGTGAGAAATCCTTGCATTAAGCACAGAGCACAGCTACCCACGTTTTTACAGCGAAACAAAGGAGCAGTCATTCTTTGATAACCAAGGGCATATCTATATCTCAGTCCTTGCAGAACAGCGTGCCTCATGTCAGTGAAAGCAGCCTTTCACTGGGCAGGGCCTTCACAAACACAGCACACTACGTGTTTCTGTAAGAGTCTGCAATGCCCCAGAAATTGAACCACAAGCCTTACGCAGAAGTGCTTTAGTTCAAATGCACTACTGCCAGTCTGGTGTCCGACACGGCACTGCAGAAAAACAACGTCCCAGAACATATGGAAATTAGCTCAAAGCGGAGAAAACTTCCAATCAAATCTGAAGTGCACAAGCGTTAGGGCCAATTTTGTGAAGCTCAATGACTGGTGTTTGACCCCATTTTTGCTCTCCGTACAGTTCTGTGCAGTGACCATCTATGCAAATTAGAAAATAAGCCGGAATTTGTGTCAAAGAACAACTTACCGTACCCTGATAACAAACTGCATCAGTCCACTTATTTAATGGTATTTCAAATACCTATTAACTCTATGTGAATAAAAGACACCACACAAAGGCAAACACGACTGAGCTTGGCCCGGGTCAGTGGACCCTGCCCAGCTGAGCAGTAGTTAAAATCAGAGCAAGGACCCGGTGTCAGGTTCAGCTTTTTTTGCGGCTGCCACAACCACAGGGACACAAACACGATACCTGAGCCCCGAGCACGTGCTGACAGCAACCATGGAGTCCAGGGTCCCCTCCACGACCCCCTGGTAATGGCAGTGATCCTATAGGGGAAACAAGGGTGCATTACACACACGTTGTATCACAGAATCACAGAATCACTCGGTTGGAAAAGCCCTCTGAGATCATCACGTCCAACCACTCCTGTCTACCCCCTAAACCATATCCCTAAGTACCTCATCTACCCGCTCTTTAAACACATCCAGGGATGGTGACTCCACCACCTCCCTGGGCAGCCTGTTCCAGCTTCTGACGACCCTCTCAGTAAAGAACTTCCTCCTTATCTCTAACCTGAACCTCCCTTGGCACAGCTTGGTGCCGTTTCCCCTTGTTCTATCCCCCATCACCTGGGAGAAGAGACCAGCACCCACCTCTCTACAACCTCCCTTGAGGTTGCACAGCAGCACACATCTCAGATCATTGCTATGTTCCCGCAGCAGTTACAGCCTGACAACATAAAATGCTGTAAGTTAAACTTACCACAGGCCCTGTACAGTCTACAGCTTCTGACAAACCATATGTTAGAACATACCTAACCCTAACCCTTTACCACAACATTACAGCTTTTCCTTCACCAATGCACATCTAAAAATTTCCTCATCTGCCTTAGTGCCACAAGGACTTTTATATATATAAAATACATATAAAA